TATTAACAGAAACATAACAAAAACATTCTAGTTAGTATAGTGTTCAAGTTACGATTTTGAAGGGTTAAACGGCAAGAGAAGCATTATATTAAATTAATTTGTAGTAAGTATAAATTTTCTTTATGTTCAATAATGCGATTATTTAAAATAAAACTATTTTGATCTCAGAAAAATTAATGATTCATATATTTTCTGTATCTTCATCATTTTAATTCAATATTATCTTTTCTAATTATTAAAATTTTATGTACTTCTCCTACTTTTAATTATAGCAATAAAATTATTATTACGTATGCTAGATACAAACGATCCCGCATACAAGAAATAACAAAACTATACTGTAATATAATTATTGTCCGCGTATAAAAATCTTACTGTTCTACACATTTGTTGTTATAAGTAGTCCTTTCAGTACGTATCATATAAAAAGTATTTGTATGTTATACGTATTCAAAAATATGTAAAAGTACTAACAAAGATATGCCAAGAGCTGCATCCAAGATTTTGTTGCTGGCAGTACTTCTAAAAGCTGTTGCATCTCCCATTTGGAATGTGTGGGTCGGGCTTGACATGCGTCCATCTCCTCCGTTACTGTATGCAAGTACACGCAGATGGTATGCTTTACCAGGACTGAGGTTAGTAATATCGGCTTCTAATTTTGAACCACCTCTTATAATAGTATCATTTGCCGTAATCATATCTTGGTCTAATTCCCAAACTCGTATTTTGTATCCTATTAATGGTTCCTCTTCTAAACTTGGTTGTACGTAACGCCACACAACTCTAATTGTCGAAGGATTTACACTATATACATTAACAGAAGATGGTGGTTTCTGTGGTGCCTTTCGATATGTTCTTTCTAAATATCGTTCACTTTCAGGGCCCTCTCCAGCAGTGTTGTATGCCATTACTTTAACATAGTAGTAAGTATCTGGCTGAAGACCAACTACAAGAGCCCAAGGTCTTGTACTTCGAGACAAATAATATACTGCATCTTCTTCTCGATTGCTTTCTTTCCAATACTTTATTCTATGACCTATTAATTTGCCTCGTATTTTTTCTCGAGTTTGTTCAATTGAGGACCAGCTAACATTCAAACTAGTACTATTGTAGCTATGGGCAACCACTTGTTGCGGAGCTACTTGTGGCATGTCTTCTGCACTGAATATCGTGACTGCGTCGGAAATTGGTCCAAAACCTAAAGCATTAGCTGCTTGGACCTTAACTTCGTATTCTGTATAATAATATTGTTGCTGTACTTGTACAACACTTCTCCCAACATTGCCATATTCTTTCAAAGACAATGACTGATATTCCTTTTCATGATATTTTTGACGCCAAAAGATTTTGTAATAAATTCCGGGACCGTTTTGATCTGATGGTGGTAAAGGATCCCACTTAATGGTAAGATCTCCAATTTTCCCTCCTCCACCACCTATATTTGATGGAACTCTACTTGGTTTATCTGATGGAGTGCTATACTGCGGAGAAGGCGATGATGGTAAACTGTAACCTAATTCATTATATGCAGATACAGCAAACGAGTAAGTAGTATAAGGTTTTAAAATGTTCTCTAAATAGGCTTCTTTTCTACCGTTGTACCTATCTACTTCAATGGCAGTTATATCTGAAATCATATGTATATTTAAAAGTTGTTCATCATAGAATTGTGAACAAACAGATCATGCAACTTTACTTACTTTCTATGACATTAAACCATGTATGATTCCAGTTGGTTCTTGCACTTACTGTATACATTGTAATGGGTTTACCATTCAAAGCACCATCTGTCCAACGTAAAGTTGTAGAAGTTTTTACAATATTTACAACTTGTACACCTCCAGGTGGTCCTGGTGGCCCTTCTATTGTTACTATTGTTTTGCTAGAAATTTCACCTACAGCACTTTTAATTATACATTCATATTCTCCAGCTTCGGCAAACGTAGCATTTATTATATTAAGTTCTTCCCCATCTATACGTAATCTTGGATTATTCATGAGATCTCCATCTCTGATACGTAAGTCATTGTGTTTCCAAATATAAGCAACATCTAGCATTTCATCTATGTCTCCCATACATCGTAAAGTTTGATTTTGCATGACTGATGTAGTTATGCGTTGCGGTAGTCTTTCCAAAAATTGTGGACCATCTTTACATGAAATCAAAATTTTTAGTCTAATATTTTTATTGAAATATTATTAACATGTTCAAACCTGGATTGACCGTTCAAAACACCAACCAGATAATCGACATCGTAAAGAAAAATTTGAGAAATTTGAAAATGAATGATATTTTGGTGTACCTAAACCTGTGCGGTCACTTAGAAAAATATTCAAACATTTCAAACAGCTCAGTCTGAACTCATATATATAAGCTATTGATTTTAATTAATATTAACTTACGTAAAACTATTAGTCGCCCACGAGTTTCATCCATTCCATACTGATTTGTTGCAGTACAAATGTAAGTACCTTCATCATCTCTAGAAACTGGACTGATTATAAGGCTACCAGTTTCTAAAATCCTTCGTCTACCACCAGAACCAATTACATTTCCATCTTTTTTCCAGACAAACTTTGGTCTAGGTGCAGCTTCAGGATTACAAAAAATTGTAACGTTACCTTTTTCAGCTGCATATGTTTCAGGTTCCATAGGACGTTTTTTAAACGACGGTTTTAATGCTACAATGTGAAAAATATATTCAATATTTTTTTTACACTACTTAACTTGGTAATATTAAGATAGGCATGCTGACATATGCGAACTGATTAAATATTAATTCAACGAAATGAATATAAAAATTTTTGTTTAGAAAATTGACTTTATGAGAAAAAAATATTAAATCTCACGAAAGATGATGTTTACAAATTGTACAATGTGAAGAAAAAATTATTGTATTTCATCTAATACAAAATATATTAAATAGTATTAACTTGATTAGATTTAAGCCAAGTATTAGAATAAGAACTTACATAAAACTCGAAGTTGTGCAGACGAATACTTTGTTCTTAACTGATTTTTCGCACGACATTGATACATAGCTGGATCCGTTTCTGGATTTAAAAGTTTTATGTTTAGAACGTTGTCTTGAATAGAATAGCGGCCTCTATCTTCAGGGGGCAATGTTTCCATATCCAATAGTTCACCATTTTTAAACCAACTATAAGTTACATCTGGTATTCCAAATGCTTCACATGTCCAAGTTAATTCTCCTCTATTATCCATATGTTTATCAACTAATGGAATAGTGAAATTGGGAGCTGCTTGTATAGTTAATCTAACAGAATTATCAATGCCAACTCTGTCGTTGTGAACTCTACAGACATATTCCCCTTGATCATCGACATGTACTTTTGGTATTATTAATACACGGTTGTAACTAGTTGTATATGCTCCACGTGGTAAGGGTGCACCCTTTCTTGTCCAATTGTAAGATGGAACGGGGCTGCATAAAATTAAAGGATGTTCATGCTTTAATCACTTTTCAATACAGTAACTATCTTGTAAACTTGTATTGTTAAATTTTAAAAAAGGAGAATATTGAGTAAATGAAACAAAAATTTTGTGACAATATGCATATAATAATTTCACCATGTGAGTGAGAGCAAAAGAAATATCTAATTAAATTATTAATTTCAAAAAATACATTAAAAAGATGTTACAGTATTAAATGAAAACTCTATGAGGGATATAAAATTTATTAAAACGTCTCTTCGCAAATCTATATGCATAGTAGTATATTGAAGAAACTTACTATCCAAATGCAATACACTCAAGTCTAACTTCCTCTCCAGCCACTGGTGCTTCTGGAAATGCTTTTGGAAAATTATTAGGAAACTTCAACTGTTGAAAGGAAGCTGGAAAGAAGAAAGATAAATAAATATATCAAACGATTTTGTAATACGTTATGTTATATATATCCAACAATTATAAGAAAAAATATAATTACAATGTGCATCAACTCTCAATGGGAAGAATGGTCCATTACGACCAGTATCTGATGCAACACTTTGAACATTACAAGAATAATTTCCACGATCAATCGTTTCCAATGCAGAGAAGTAAAGTGCTCCATCATGGGAAACAAAAACACGTTTATCTTCTTCCACAAAATTAGGAAAATAATCACGTGCCCAATAGTACTTTACTCCAGGAAAATGTTGCGGTGGATCACAGTATACAGCTTTACCCCAATTTTGATCTCCACGCTCTTCTGAACGTTTTAAATTAAATTCCAGTATATAACCAAATGACAATTCAACACTTTCAGATATAATTGTACCAAATTTATTTGTGGCTTTGCAATGATATGAACCTCTATCCGTTGTCTAAAAACAGTTAATTGCTATTCTAGTAATATATGCCTTTAATGTATAAATTGTGTAATATATAAAATATAATTACCTGATCGGGTTCATAAATAATTAAAGTACCACCACTCACAGTATATCTATTATTTTGTAATGGATCTATTTTTGTTGCAATTAATCTGTCCTTCTCATAATCTTCTTTAAACCATTCATATGTTGGTGCAGGATAACCACCTGCAAGACAACTTAATGAAACATCATTACTAATTTTCCTTTTTGACACATCGAATACTTTATCTTGAGGTTGTTTAATAAAATATGGTCCTCTAGGTATTTGATTAGGATTATCAATTTCAACACCATATTGATAAGTACGATCATCTTCTACTAAGTTATGTAAGGTAGAAATTGGAGCTTCGCAAATATATAATAATTTATCTCTGCCTGTTACTTTCTCTAATCCCCAACGTTGCAAATTATTGTGGTAAGTATATACCAAATAATCTTTATTAATTATGTTATCATTTCGCTCAGGTAAGAATGCATTATCCATATTTAGTAACTGAGTACTATCACCCTCATTTATCCAGTTTCCATTTTGATATTTAATACCAGTGTACCATTTACGATGTTGAGGATCTTGCCATAATAATTGATATAATACAAATCCATGTTCATCTAAAGAGTTAATTGTAATAAGATCACTCTGATAAGCTTGACAATTTCTTCTAGCATCCTCTCTTTCTCTGATGGGACTTCTTATAAAACGGTAACAAGAATCTTGGAATTTTATCCAATGTTGTGGACACTGATATATTTCTCCATCTGATATACTCTGAGAGTATACACTAGTCGAAACAACTAGGATGAGTGTTAGAACTATTTGTATCTGACACATTGTTATATATTTTTCAATATAGGTGATTATTATTACA